AGTCATCACCACGCCCAGCGTAACTGCAAAGTCTTCATCTGATGAAGCTCTGATGCGAACATCAAATGAGGGGTCAGATTTCTGTTTGGAGCGTCAGCATCAGGCTCTGCTCAATGAAACCTTGTTATACTGAGGACAGGATGATGGTGTTGTATTCAATACCTTCCAGGCACCCGGCGTCTCTGCATGCCTCATGAAATCCTCTCCATAAATGGCTTCAAGGGCGATGAGCTCGTTCTGCTGGAGCTCTTCATATTCCAACTTGGGGGCGGCCTCGGGACCCTTTGGTTTGAGTCCCGGGAAGCTTGAGTCATCTTCATTTTTCTGCGGTTTGTCGATGGGCTTGTTCCACACCCCGGATGATTTCCACGCCATATCGAGGACGACGAGAAAAGGCTTGACGAATCACCACAGCGCGAGCCGTGACAGTTCGTTACGGGAAAGCCATATTTGGTACGTTGAGCAAAGTTAGTTATTCAGATATAGTGATATGGGTGAGGAAGAGCTAAGAAGAAAAGAGGAAGAAGTCACAAGCGCAGGTCTAGCCGATGAAAGCGCCACACCGCGACCATCGACGGCTGGCGGCCTGGTGCGCTGTCACAGTACGGCGCATTCGCCTTCAGCTGGGTGCTTTACCGCTGCCAAACTGGAAGTGGGGGGTCGTTTTGGGGCGAACAAGTGCCCCTCAATGATGACGCTGACCGTCTTAGTTGCTCTTTTCAGTGGGCCAAGACGCCTGAAGCTCTAAAGAACCCTGAGACGAGGGGCAATGGAAGTGACAGACATTGGGGGCATTGTGCACACGGAGTGACTCAGCACGGTGTGGGACCAGGGGACGAACCACGGACGCGCCGTCCGTATGCGGTAACAAAGTAAACAACTGAGAAATCACATCTGTTCGCCGCGGTCAGATCACCAAAGACTGCACAACTAATTAATACATGACCCGCCGAGACACGAGCGCATGTGATGTGATCTCGTCTGTCGGACTCCGCCCAACCTCAAACACCATTGATCCGCGCGCATATATCTACTGGCACAACCAACTTCCTCCACCGATAAGAAGCCCACAAGCAACCTAGGATGTTGGGCTGGGTTCTTAGACGAGGGTTGGAGGGCGCGTCGGGGGGAAACAGAGCAAACGCAGGCGCAGGTGAGAATACCCTGCCAGATCGACCCTTCTTTCTCACCGCATCGCACGGCTTTTCTGACTTCCAATCCACAGCAGACGACACAACACAGATTGAGCAACCAGATACGCCCGCGCCCGTCTTTGCCGCCCGCGCACTCAAAAGCGCCATCTTTGGAACACCCGCGCGACCTGACGACGATAATACTGCCACCATGGCGCGTCGCAAGGACGAAGACGACTCTGATACTGAATCCCGAACCCCGATGAAACAACCTCAAGGAATTCTTCTCACTCCTGGAACTGGAACCTCTCGGCGGAAGCGTGTGTCGTTCGGGCACGATGTGTTGGATAACAAGAAGGTCGACAACAGAAAGGGCAAAGAAGTTGACACCGACGAACGACCGGGGAGATTCCCAGACAGTTTTGCCGACACAACCAGCGACTCCGCAAGCAAGCGCACCAGATTGACTGAAACAATGGAGAACTCACGACGCAATAAAGGAACTTCAAGCTCGCGGGAGAGGAGCCAGACGCGGACCACCGCAGCCAGGAGTGACGATGCTGAGGACGAATGGGAGGAGGCCGACGACGATCAATGCATGCACGATATCACAATGGACCTTAATGAGCCCCATTCGCGGTCGGGCAAGTACTGGAAGTCGGAATTCGAACAATATCACCAGGACGCTAAAGCCGAGATGGAGAAATTGCTCAAGTACAAACAGCTTGCCAAGTCGTATGCCAAGATGAAGGACGCTGAGGCTATCGACCTCAACGCCAAACTCAAGGAGGAGCAAGAGAAGGCTGCCAAGATGGAGAAGAAGATCTCTGAAATGGCAGCGCAGATTGCCGCGAAGCAGCGAGCCAGCGGCGAAGAGAGAGACAACCCTCAGCTTATCAAAGACTTGGCAAAACAGACCGCTGTTGCTGTTGAGTACCGGACGCAGGTGCAGGAACTAGCTGCCCTTTTGGAGAACCGCGAAAATGGCGACGACGACGAAGGGGATGCACGGAGCAGGCGCCGGCGGCAGGCTGCCTCGCCGCGAACACACAAGACGTTGCTCGAGGCCCAGCGAGAGTTGAGAAAGGCTAGAACACAAGTCAAGGAGAACGGACAGCTACGGGAGGAAGTTGAACGGCTAAAGTCCGACCTCCTGTTTGCAGAGCAACGAGCAAACAAGCTCGCCGAAGAGAACAAACGACTTGCCGAGCAACAACCATCTCAGAACAAGGAACAAGGCAAAGACGCCACAACATCGGGCAAGCGTGTGGACGAGCTAGAGGATGCAATTCGCAAGAAAGACGATGAATTACGCAAGTTGAAGTCGGAGTTTGAGAATTATAGGACGGATGCCGAGGCCACGCAAGAAGATACGCGGCGTATCTTGGAGAAGGCAACGGAGAAGATCAACGAGCTTAAGAGGGAAAACAAGACTCTCAAAGCAGGAACGGCTGATGTACCGAAGACGAAGAACACCGCTGTTCCCCCTGAACGAGAGCCTGCCGCCAGGGAACACCGCGCTCAAGAGACTAACCGCTTCATTGCGGATAACAAAAGCCGCAAAACGTCGACCGAGGTAGGCCGCCGGAGCTTCGACCTCGTAGAATCACTAGGCAAGAAGCTCAACGAGCCAAAGTCTCAAAACCTTCGGGACAAGTATCAGCGGGACGCCGACTCCCTCAGCTCAGACGACGAGCCGCCCGCGAGAGAGCCACCAAGGCGCCCCCAGTCCGAAATCTTCTCGAGCCGTGTCAATCTGGACAAGCCTAAGTGGCGACCTTTTATCCCAAGGTCCCCTCGTAACAGAGAATATCTCGGTTCTGATCTGAACGACCGTATCGTCACCTCGAGCGAGGTTCCGACAGGCAACACGCCAGCACCTCGACACAGATTCTCCAGCAAGGACAAGGAGGCGCCGATCGATCTGCTGCAGGATCGTTTCGCCCGGCTAGGAGGGCCAGGCGAGCCCGATGTCGAGGCCAGCACCATGCTGGCGGCGAACATGTCAAAGAGCACATTACCTCCGCAGAGACGAGCAGCGGCTATCGCGCGAATAGAGCAGAGAAAGGCCGACAAGAGGCGCGCAGCGTCGGGCCAGAGCAACAACAAGGAGAACATGCGACCACAACGCTCATAATTTGCATTTTGGAGCGGTTCACGTTCTTACGCCCTTTAGTGTGTATGGCGTTTGGGTTGGAGGGATATGATTCAGGCATTATTGTACGAGTAGTCTTTTTTGACCACCAAAGATGATAGCATGGAGTTTGGCGGGGGTATCATATCAACTCGGATTATTCAAATGATTCCAAGAAACCTCACTCTCTCGCAGGCTGTGTGTTCCCCATGATTTACGTTTTTACCGTGTTTTTTTCCTGTCTTTTATTTTTCCCTTTTCTCGTCATTCCTTATGCGCTCAAGGTTCCCTTGGTGCTAGGCACCTCGCCCTCCTTACCAGCGACGCGGCTGGTGGCCATCTTGACGGCGACGGCGAGGGCCTTGAAGGCGCTCTCTGCGCGGTGGTGGTCGTTTTCGCCGCGGAGGCAGTCGACGTGGAGGGTGATTCTGGCGCCCTGGGCGAAGCTCTGGAGGCAGTGGGGGATCATCTCGCAGGACAGGTCGCCAATCTTTTCGCGGCGGAGGCCGAGCTCGACGACGCTGTAGGGCCGGTTGGAGAGGTCGACGACGGCGCGGGAGAGGGCCTCGTCGAGGGGCGCGTAGGCGTAGCCGAAGCGGGCGAGGCCGGTTGCGCTGCCGAGGGCGGCGGCGAAGGCGTAGCCTAGGGCTATGCAGACGTCTTCTGCTGTGTGGTGGTCGTCGACTGAGACGGGTATTAGGTGTAAGTGGCTGGTTGTGCCTCTCTATTATGTTTGACTGGTTGTCACTGAGGGAAACGAACTGTGAAGGTCACCCTTGCAGGCGATGGCCAGACTCCAGCCGGCGTGCTTGGAGAGGGCGTGGAGCATGTGGTCGAGGAAGCCGATGCCCGTGTTGACGCTGATGGTCTGGGACTTGCTTGCCTGGGAGGCGTGTGCAGTAACGGCTGCGGTGAGCCTCTCGTCCGTGTCGGGGGGGAATGCCCCGCCATCGAGGTTGAGGGCCATCTGGATCTTTGTCTCGTTGGTGTCGCGCGCGAGGGCGGCCCATCTGGGCGGGTGAGATGTTGTAGACATGGCTGGTGTGTGAATAGGTCGTATTTGAACGAGAATAGGGGAGTGTGTCAGGAATTAGTCTCAAGATTGAGGAAGTATCGCAAGTGTATTGAGTATCGCAAAAGTTGAATTGGGACTTTTTCTTGGAGTCACTAATCGTTATCAGTGGGCGCCGTGTGTCGGAGCTGCCAGTGGCGGGGAGGGGCAGACTTGGGATGAGGTGGGGCATTGCCCAATCATGACCCCTCAACTGTCAGCGATTGCTGCCGCCATCAAACAGAAGGTCAGGAAGGTATTACCTAAGGTAAGGTAAGTAAATCGTACCCGACCGCATTCTCCAATTTTCACCGCTTGAGGGGAGGCCCACCCAAGAGGGATGGAGCTCTAGCGGCAGAAAAAAAAGAATTGAAAAGCGCAGTGGCAGGAACGCTTCTTTGTCCTTCCAGCTTTCCCCAGCTCGCCCCCAAAAGGAGAGGACACGGGTCAGGAACAGAGCTTAGGTGACCAACACCAACACATCAGCGCTGCAGCCTGGTGTCTGATTGGTCACGTCTTTCCTTTCCCGCAACACCCTGCAGATAAATAGTGCAGCCTGGCCAATTTGCTAGCTGCCTTGCCATCTGCAACATCACCACATTCTCTCGTTTGCTTCAACGACTTCTCACTTACCTGCCTTTTCAAACGCACTGGAACACAGCTTTGCTGGACATTGGAAAACATGTCCGAGTTCCTCGATGCCTACTGGCAGGCGCCGCCTGTTGCAAGGTAAGCACAGCTCATCTCTCTCATCTTGCTTCTCTTTCTCAGCCTTGCTGACTCGTCTTGAACAGAACATTTGCAACAGCCGCGTTCGTCACGTCTCTTTCTGTTCTCCTGGGCGTCGCAAACGGATACTGGTTCATCTTCATGCCCCAGTTCCTCTTCCAGATCCCGCCTCAGATCTGGCGTCTCGGGACCAACTTCTTGCTCACCGGCCCCCAGCTTGGCCTGCTCTTTGACACGTACTTCCTGTACCACTACCTGACGGCGCTCGAGGTCGGCAACCCTAGGTTCGCCAGGCGCGAGGATGTCATCTGGTATCTCATGTTCGTTTGCACTGTCATCACGGTAAGTTGTTATTGTCGCTGCTCTGGCAGTCCGCCCAAAACCATGCTATTTCCCCCCTGGGAAAACTTCCTCTATTATACACAATGCCCACACGAGAAGAACATATCTTCCTCTCTTGCTATACACACAACTCTCTTGCACCTCATATTATCTGCCCGCACAGTGGATTCCCACAGCTGTCAGCGGTTCCTGGAAATGAGGAAGATTACCCTCACGGCGCGACCCGTCCTCTTTCGCTTTAGGGACGTGGCTTGTGGCGTGGGCATGGTGGGATGTCTTATGGATGGCTCGTGCAACCTCACAATGTTGCTCGAGTGGTTTTCTTAGCGCCCTACATATCAACACCCAAACTCTGGGTTTTTATTTCTCTTCTTTTTCACTGTTTTTACCATTGTCATGACCATTATTATCATCATCCAGCTTCGGCCCAAAGGAGCATGCGCTAATATCGCACAGGCACTCTGCACCTACCTCATGGGCGGAGGAGCCTTCCTGCCGGCTTTGATTCTCGCCATGTGCCGTACCGTCACCCAAGACCAGCGTGGGATGAAGGCAAACTTTTACTTCGTCACCATCCCCGCTCAGCTCACTCCATTCTGCATGATGCTCGTGTCGTTGCTGTTCCCTGGCGGATACTACACCGCTATGCTCCAGCTCATGGGCTTCCTGGCCGCTCACCTCTACGATTTCCTGTCCCGGGTGTGGCCCGAGTTCAGCGGAGGCAGTAATCTGATTCCTACACCCGGCTTCCTGTCTCGTCTTGTGCAGACGCCTCGCTTTAATCAGCGTGGATACGGAACTGCCGTTCGCGGTGGTGGTGGCTCTGCCCAAACTTCGGGTAGCAGCACTGGTGTATCACAGGGCGGCGGTGTTTTGCCCGAGTCGTGGAGGACGAGGGGCCCTGGCAGACGTCTGGGTTAAATCACATGCTACGATAGTCGTTGTACGATAGACTTAATCAATGATGAACATTGTATTTGTTCCATGACCCTTTCGATCACTTTGATCACCTGACGTCGCAGGCTCGCACGCTAGATATAAACATACAGATTACCGACCCAGACCAAGAAACTCCATGATATCAAAAAGAGAGAACCGTCCTCCATTCCGTACAATCCTTGGTATACTACCGATTGTTCCTTTGCGCCATTGTAAGGACACATTACCCACTACCTAACTCAATGTCCTTTTTATCCGTACAGAGTACTCTTGCCGCTCCGAATCGGCATATCACCCTCATACTCTTCAGGGTCAACCCGCACCGGCACCTGATGCGATATTATCGCCGACCGGCCCGCGAGCGGCTCGTCCCTGAACCTCTCCTCGTGGAAAGTCAGGGGTTCCGAGATTTGCATCTCGTTTGTCCTCTCGCCGCGGTCCGCTATCGGCGTGGCGCCTTGGACTGTGATGGAGGGCGGGGAGTACTGCTTCGGCACGCGGATCCGCGGCACCGAGGGGAGGGATAAGGACGGGATCCTCCTGGACTGTTTCCGTCCGGGCGGTTTTCCCGGCGGCGGAGGCGGGATGTTGACCATCCTTGGTGTGTTGTTGGCGTTATCGCTATGTGATCCATGTGATCTCGCAGGCGATGGCGTCCGGGAGACGGCGCGGGGCGGCGGTCTGATGCCGCTCATTGTGCCTGGCTCGTCCGTGGCTGTCAGGTACGTCTGCAGAGCGTACGAGTCTGGCGTGTTGGTCTTGCGCGGGACCGCGGCGTTCACGTTCAAGTTCAGGTTCGCCGGCGGGGGTGTGGGCGTGGGCGTGTTGGTCCGGCCGGACTGCCGGCTCATGGCCCGTGGGATGTACGCCGGGTGCGTCGGGAGGGCGCTGCCGGGGCCGTGGAAGCCCGAGTGCGGGTCGAAGTTGTAGTGGGCCATGTCGCGGCCGGCCTGGACCTCTTGCTCCAGCTTGTCGTAGTACTCTGCGTTGTTGTTGAAGCTGTTGTTGTTGCTGCTCGCGATGATGTTCTTTTCCTGGAGCTCGTAGTTGTACGAGTTGATGGACGAGGACTTCTTGTGGTCTCCCACGCCGCCGCCGATGGGGAGGTAAGGGCCATTGCTGATGGCTGTGAAGGAGCTTGCGTGGCTCCGGGGCGGGTGGTGTTGGTGGTGAGGGGGCAGGTAGTCTGCTTCGTCTTGCATTCTCTGCTTGCGCTGCTTGCGGCAGTAGATGACGAAGAGGCAGATGGCGCCGACGAAGACCAGACCACCGCCTACGGCGATGCCGACGATGGTGCCGAGGGTCATGGTTGTTGAGGAGGCGCCGCCGTCGCCTGGTAGAGTCGTGTTCGTGTTCGTGTCTGTGATGTTGACGGGCTCGGTAGAGAAGAGCTGACCGGTCAGGCCGAGAAGTGTTCCGTTGCCTGGTTGTTGCTGGCAGCCGGCTTTGAGGGCAATCAAGACTTCAAGTGGGCATCAGCATATGTCGTCTTTCGTTTGTGAAAAGGGGGCGCCGGATCGAGTGTTACCACTTACAGTTTGAGAGATAGCTTTGACTGTCGCTTGATTGCAGACACCTGACACAGGACCACCAGTTTGAGCTTGAGAACTTGTCCCCGTCGGCTGTGCAGTAGTCGTACGCGGTGTTGGCGTCTGGGGTGGTGAGGGCGGTTGCGAGGGCGTTCTTGAGAGGTCGACAGGCGCTGTTGATGATACACGGGGAGTTGATGTGGGATATTGCGTCTGGGAAATCAAAGAGGCAGACGTCTACCGCGTAACGTATGTTGTCTAAACGATCTCAAATAAGCCAAGAATTCTCAAAAGCCACACTGATACTTCCACGAAAGAAGAAGAGAGAAGGTCTTACACAGAAACCAAGAGGCGTCACTCTCTGCCCCTTTGGACGCCTGGCTTTTCTGAAGGCACGAGACGCAGTTCCTAAACTTGATTCCCTTGCCCGTCGAGTGATATTGGTCGTCTTCGCAGACTATGTCGGACGAGTTGGTTCCTGATGTCGTTGTATCGATTGCGGTTCCGTTTGGCCCACCCAAGCACAACGCCGCACAGTCTGAGTCGGGTGTAACCTCGAGGGAGAGGACGACCGTGACAAGCGAGAATACGAACAGGAGATGCCACAGAGACGGTACGGCCATGATGATGTTGCCCTTTCCACGTCCTGCTGGTCTGGACTTGAGATGGGAAGAGGGCCGGAAGGGGAGGAGGGGAGAGGGGGTTGTAGGATTAAGTGAAGCTTGGGGTATTATCTGAACAGCATGGCATATCACCCTTGATGGGGAGAGAAACTCGATGGGCGAGTAAAGATGACAGACTCTATCCCGTGAGTGAGACCGGACAGAATTATGACCATCAAAGAGACAGTCAAAAGTTCATCATCTCTGAAGAGACCCCGTCGCCTTTCACTTTTGCGGGAACACATTGCAGATATAATGCCGGGTCTTGAAGAGGTAGTATTACGGCACGGCTGATCCCCCATGCAAGACAGGCAGGCGGCTCTGCACCTGCAAGCATTGCGAACGTAGTTAGATGGAGGTTGGTCTATTTTGAGGGTGTGTGGTAGTGGAAGGTAGTGTTGCGTTGGCTCCAGCCGGTGAGAGACAGCAGACAGCACAAAGAGGGCAGCTGTTGGTGTCCAGAGATGGTAAGGCTCTATCCACTGGCGCACGTCAATTTTCGTTCCTCCAGATCGTCCAGGCCAGCCCGGGGGTGGTGAGGGAGGATTTCCGCCAGAGAGCTGAGAATAGCAATGGGAAAGAAGCCAAGATGGGGGAGCGGGTAGAAACGTGAGTCCAATGAGACGGCGCGTAGTTGTGAACCCTTGACGGTTGTAATCGCGCCCAGGCTTCGAGCACGACGAATCAGAGAGTAGGAAACGAGGGAAGCCCACAGCGCCAAACGAATTGTAGGCTGGGGGGGAAACAAACGAGAGATGCTGAATGGTCGACTGACTGGAGAGACACACGCACGCGGCACACGGGAAAGGTTGAAACGGGGAGAAGGCAGCTGGTGATTCGTGAACAGGATTGAGTGGTTTTGCAGGCGCCGGCCGGGCATGCGGCCTGCTTTCCTAGTCTTAGTCTCTAAGACAACCCTTGTCAACGACTGAACAAGGTATCTCGAAAGGCCACTTAGCGGCCGTCTTCCCGTCCAAGAGGGCCCGCATTCTGGCAGCTTGACTGAGTTTAAAAGACGCCCGGCGGCGGGGAAATCAGACCACTTCTGACCACGGCCGAAATTGCCACGCGACTAGAGATCTTGAACGGGCGACGGGGGCCAGCTCGGATGTCTTCCGTCTACCTACTCCTCCTTCGAGCCTGGGCAAAAGAGAACTTCAGTATCCAGCATGTTCGGGATGATGGGATTTCGGCGAAGGATTGACTCCCCGCAGATTACTTTCTCTTATTTATTTCTCACAATAGGATTGCGATGGCTTGGAGGATTCATACACATGAGTAAGTGAGTATGTAAGTAAGCTTCCTTCAAACCAACACATATTATAATTCACGATGTATTAACAACGCGTCTATCGGCCAACGACAGCAAAACGTCCCGCCCGAGCCTGGTGCCGCTGCCGCGAGAACGAAGTCAATGCGACCGACCTCTGTCGGCTGGCGTGCTGATTAAGACGGCGGATCGTGGCAACCACTACACCCGGATTTCCCTCATTTGCTTGGGGGCCGTCCTGGGACCGTTCTGTATGGCTGTCACCTGCAGGCGGGTGTCCATGAATAGAAGCGAGTGTGATGGTGGCTGCATGCGCCAACCACTGTCCACTTTCCATGGTTGAGAGGGCATGGAGGGGTAACTTCCCGCCTGGTGTGCGCGAACACCTCCATTTCGACAACAACTGAAGTTGACGAATTTTATGAAGGTCCGCTGCGCAATATTGTCGATAGCTTGCTCTATTCTGATATTGCGTTCGTTCTTTCATCGGACGTCGAAATCGCTATGCATAGCAGTCACTATGTGCTCGTATTATCAGGCAAGACGCTAAGTATATAAGGGACGCCGACTCCCTGCTCGTCTTCGCCTCCCTCACGACGAACTCACTTATAGATGCACCCAACTTTATATGCACATGTCTACATATCTCATTCCTCTTCATTGGCCGTCGTCCGCAATGCCCGCGATGGAGAATAGAATGAGGTTCCAGATAGGGTGCAGCCTCTACCTTATTCTATTCTCTTGACACAGAGAAATCGTCACTGATTATCAGCCCTCACTCATCAAAGACCTACGGGAGTCGCGTCTATCGACCCAAGTGTGAGTTCCCTCTTACTAGCAACAAATCGGAACTCATGACAGATACTTTCCTCTGAAGGGGGAGCCGGGCGTAATTCTGAATATGATTTCAGGAAAAGCTTCAACTTCGCGTGGCTGGCTGCCGTGTTACTCTCATCGGGTCCTTGCATGATTGTTTAGGGTCAGCTTTGGTCCCAAGACACAATCTTGTCGCCAAATCAGTGCGACCACAAACCTGGTTCATGACCGCCCGACTTGTCTGGCTCTCACAATTTTGCTACACACAAAAGGTACGATTTGGCATGAGATTCCTGTGCTTCTGTCGCCATGCTTCTTAGGCATCACCCAACGCCCCTTTGTACTCATGGAGGATGTGAAATCGGCTTTCGTCCACGCGCATCATCAATTGTTGCACTGGATCCCAAACAGTCAAGACGATTCTTCTGATGCTAGAGAGCCAAGACTGCTTCTGGGAGATTCAAATTTCATTTACACAAGGCAAATACCCGTTCTGGGCCCAAGGGACCATAGCACGGAATTTATCTCAAGCTCTTCCGGGACACGAGACCCCAATTTTCATATTGACTCCCTTCCCGTCAGGGTGAGAAATCCATGTTTGGCAGATTGATGTTATATAGAGTTCGCTCTGACTGGCTCGTTAAGGCTCGGAAGACGGAGCTGCTTCGGCCAGTTTGATATGTTTGTGCCTCTGTCCGCTTCGGGCTCGTATAGACTATCAGACAGCGACCGTTTGTGTCGTACACTGGAAAGGGTCAAGCTTCACAGTCAGAACTTTTGCTGGTGGGAAACAAGCTGGAGTTCTCTCGTCAGACACTTTGACTTCATGGCCGTTGATGGGTATGAGGTGACTCTGGCTTACGATAGTCCAAACTCCCTCAATATCGAAGCTATAAAAGAGGAAGGCATCTCTTCACTTTGATCCAGAGATCTATTATCACACGGCATACCTACAAAACAGCATCCAATCCACAAGGTTGAAGAAATCAAAATGAGCTTCAAGTCAGCCATCGTCGTCCTCGCTACTCTCGCCTTCCGGACCATTGCGGTCCCGGTCGAGCCCGCCCAGCCCCCGAACCCGGAAGACTGGACCCTCCTGAACTTCCGACGCACTTGCGCAGCGGACCAGAGCCGGTGCAGCTACGACTTCCTCATCTCCGAAGACGCGGCCAAGGTGCCCAAGTACTGCAACTTTGACATTGACGCCGCCGGCGGACTCCGCGCGTACCAGACCGACTTCTCGTCCCTCAAGTGCCCGAGCGCACCCGAGTATTCCATCAATGGCGGCTGGGACGAGCAAGGCTTCATCACGCTGACGGTCATCGACGATCCGAGGAGGCTCCTGTCTTTCTTCGCTTTCAGAGATGAAGAGCTGTGGGCTGGTGAGGCGGCGACGCCGCAGCAGTCTAAGGTCTTCGATTATCCGTTCTCCACCAAGCGAGAGGTCATGGCCAGCCAGGAAGAGAGTGAGATGGCATACGCTCCCAGCTGGAAGATTAAGGACTTCATCAGATGTGAGTTTGTGCTGGCTTCAGGCCGATGTATAACTTATTAACAATATTGCGAAGATGAATTCAACCGAGGAATCCCTTACAGCGATGCACTTATCATGAGATTCGGCATTCAGAGTGGTCCTTTGACCGAACAGTGCCTCCTGATCATTGCCCTTTTTGAAGGAACTGTGCCCCTGGGTAAGAGCTTCGCTGACGCAGCCTGTGGCTACGGTGGGTGGACGGTTTCTTGGGGTCACAACGAGACTACGGATGAGGCGGTCATGACCTTGATGAAGTAAGATTTGAGCTCTCCTTCTCTGACCCCAATGAAGCTGACATGATCTGCAGTGTACACCATGACAGGAGAGCATTCTATGGATTCAACGATGTTAGCAAAAACATCATTCTGGGTGACAATGGACCTAGACCTGCCTCTCCGTATTAAGAGACGGAGCCAAGTGCCTTGTAATTATGTCTGTATCCTATGCTAAGAGCAGTCCGAGGTGCTCTTAGACTTAGGCAACATGTCTGAAGCATTTGATGAGTCTTTGACCAGAGCATAGGCTGGAGTACAGTCAACGACTGTGGTACTGAAGAACATAATGGGTGGAATATGTAAAGATGTATGTTATGGGAATCGAGCAAGTATCAGGATCAGGGTCGGGGGAAAGGAGACGCTAATACTACCATGTTTCCTTGAGACCTTTGAATGGACAAGCTCATACTTGTGATCATGAAGTCATATCAGCGTCTAGTTGTGTTGCATCCGCAGCTCACCGGGCAACCTCCGAAGGTGCGAGTGCGCTCCAACACTGCTTTTCTCAAAGAGCGACGAAAAGTTAGTAAAGAGAGCGAAGCGAATAGCGAGGAAAGCCTGAGTCCTGCCGCAGGGGAGTTCTTATGTTTCAGGACACAGCGTTGAGGACGAATGAGCGTTGTGTCTTCAAAAGCCAAGTTGAATCCAAAAGTTCCACGACTGTGTGCTGAGGGTTCCCAGCCTCTAGCGAAGAGGCACCATGGGCTGACTACGCGCCGTCTAGCTGAGCGAGCTTTCTGGTGTGCGACTTCGCCCTGTTCGGGCGCAGCGCATGTCTGGCGAATAAGAACGACGAGTTTCCCGCCAGAGGTACGATGTTGGAATGGTCGATAGTGTCAAGCCCGCGAAACAGCACTTGTTGGCAAGGCCGACAATGACGTTGATTCTTGCTAAAGATCATACATTTTTCCGCATAGATCTTGTTGGATTCATGTTAGTAGTTTCAAAAAAGGCGGTGAAGTATGTTCAGAATACCATCGTCAAGTGGTTCCGGTCGATGAGAAGTTGGCCATCACAACACTCGACTAGTGACGGGTGACCAATCATGTGAAGTCTATTCAGATGGACGCAACACAACTCCTTTGCTTTCAGTATATCTGGTGGTTTGAGTTATCGCCCTAACACCAAAACTGAGCATGTGCCTTTATATCGTCGACGGCCCTCATATTTTCGAACAGATTCTGCTTCTGACAACGGTCTCCTGACAGACCTTGCCGATTCTCGAATGTAACGACAGAACAGCGGCCAAAGCCTCTGCGCTAGGGCTGACTGTGAACAACTGCGCTGTATCAGTACTAGATAGGTTCCAGCAACCTGGATGAGAAGATGGATGTACGGACGCGGCACAGCAAGGGGCTCAGATTCGGAGCCAACCGGACCCCTGAGATTGCCCGAATGCCCACAGACAGCCCGACAAAAGCGGGTATGGTCATGACGAAAGACCATGAGGCTAAGTTGCTCCCGTGTGGAGATGGAGATTCTGATCTCTTCGGGACGCTCCCAGCCACTGGGCAACGGGTTTGCATCATGATGGACTGGGACGAACTGGCGCGTGTGCCGTGCCGAAAGAAGCGTACGAGAGGCAGGGATATCCCATTTTAGCGCTATATTTCACTGGCCTGGTCCGAGTGTCTATCGAGTTGACGAATAGTTGAGGCGCTACAGAGGGACCCCTGGAGATTTCGGCGGCAAACGTCCTCCTCCTGTTGGCCATGTTGTGCAAACCTAACGACATTGGGATTTGGTCGCTCCTTCAATGGCAACCTAGTAGACCGATGTGCCGGGGAAAGACCACGAGAGCATCGCAGCAGCAACGTTGATAGTGAGACCAGCCAACGGGTGATGAGAGGGACGCATGCACGACGCATTACCCCTTAACTGACGCTTCGCGCGTTGACTGTCAAGACGGCCTATCCGGCCAGTCGTAGGAGGAAGAAACATTTGGAGGAGGCAGGCACTTGCTGTCTGCAATGTAACTGAAAATTGCCCGCATGGTCACACCGCACGTCACAAAAACCTTCCCCGCTGCCCCCATATTGTCGCTGCTCCCCACGCAGCCTTTAACCAAATTGGTTCACCTCAGACACCCATTTCTCTCTTGATAACTAACATTTGTCTTGCTCGATTCTACCTCTCCTCTTAATATCATCGTTTGCATGTTTCCGTTATTGCAACATCTGACGCCTTTCCCAGTTGTGGTGAAGTCTGCGAGTGGTCGAGTGGAATCAACCGTTGGAGTACTCGACCGGATCGTGGACTCATTGCGCTGGGACTTGCGGATTGAAGATGAGGATAGGGTGCCTCCAGTTTGCGCCCCAGGTGGGAGATGTCGACAATAACCTCAACCGAGCCGATTCTGTCTTGAACAAGGCAAACCCCGACGACCTCGATCTTCTTGTGTTGCCTGAGCTGGCTTTCTCAGGTATGTTGTTTTATGAGCCTGGGTTGGCTATGGCATCTCAAAGCTTGTTGAAGATGGTCTTTGAGAGAGGGAGACGTGGCTCTCTTACGCGCTTACGACCGGCGGCTACGGATTTCTAACAAGCTTCAGGGTACAATTTCAAGTCGTTGCAACAGATCTCGCCTTTCCTCGAACATTCCGGTTCCGGTATTACTTCACTATGGGCTCGAACAACTGCCTTGAAGTACAACTGTACAGTCCTTGCCGGGTATCCAGAGAAGGTTGACGTCTCCCAAAACTGGCCGACGAGCCCCGAATACTACAATGCGGCTATTGTTGTCAACGAAGAGGGCGAAACGATTGCCAATTATCGCAAGAGTTTTCTCTACTACACGGACGAGACGTGGGCTTTGGAAGGCGACGGATTCTTCGATGGCTATTTGCCTGGCCTGGGTAACACGTCCATCGGCATCTGTGAGTATTATCCCATGGACTTGCTTTGAACAAAACTTGTGCTAATCATTGGCAACTAGGCATGGACTTGAAGTAGGTTACACAACCCAATCGTGTTTCACCACTAACTTTTTCAAGCCCTTACCGATTTGAATCACCTTGGCATGAGTTCGAGTTTGCCTTCCACGTTGCGGAATGCGAGTCCAACTTGGTGATTGTCTCCATGGCATGGATGACCCGAGAGGATGGACGTATGTTCAGCCGAATGCCCAACGAACCCGACATGGACACCCTCACCTATTGGGTTACGCGCTTGGAACCTCTTATTCGGACAGAAAGCCACGAAGAAATCATTGTCGTTTTTTGCAACCGCACGGGAATCGAAGATGAGGTTGTCTACGCTGGGACCAGTGCCGTCATCGGTATTCAGGATGGTGAGGTCAAGATTTACGGCGTGCTTGGTCGTGGTGAGAAGGAACTGTTGGTTGTCGACACCAACAACCCACCATATGCAAAGCTCGTCTACCGTCCAGAGGTTGATAAGCCATCTGTCTTGCATGGAGAACTACAAATGAATGGGGACTCTGGCGGGGACTCGGGCACACCCTTTGGATCGCTGTCGCCAACTTCACCACAACAACCTCCATCCAACGGAGACCAGGACACTTCTTCTCAATCCTCGGGCGAAAGGCGGCGAAGTAAACACCAAGATTCTGTCGCCAAGCACGTAGCTTTGCCTTCCAAGCGCACAAAGCCACCGCAGATCCAGATTCCCGGAAGTGCTGGTCCGTATGGGTTGCCGTCAAAATCGCCGGGTGCTGATGCCTTTCTTCTTCTCACGCCTACCGCTCCGAGCCCGACGCCTTTGTCAGTCCGGCCGAAATTGACTATCCCTTCTTTCTCGGCGGATGACAACTCCAGAAGTCCAGTTCCTGACAGTAGTCGGTCCGCTTATTCGGTACACTCTGTACTGTCCGAGCGCTCCGTCGTCTCCAATGGAAGACCACCAGGAGAGTACCCCTATCCCGA